AAACATCCAGTTGCTCTGATGCCCTCATCCTTTCTGGGAAAAGAACGGGATCTATTTCAATTTGATCAAATTGTTTGCTTATAGCCTCTAATAATGCAGCCTTTGTTGTTTTGACACCAAGGTCTGTGTCAGCCTCCTTGCTTAAAAGATGTTTCAGGGCTCTCACCGAGGTGATGACGTCTGCAGTCGTGACACTTGATTGCAAGAGCTAAAATGGAAAACTCCATTTAAAAACAACTTCCCCAGGGCAGCTCTATATTGGGCAGAGCCAATCCTTTAACTTTGGTACATGCAGGTATTTCTAGAGCCAGGAAATGACCAAATAGACACAAAAAATAAACTGAGTTAAAGAATATTGCATAAAGACTGTCTTGTTGTGGGACTTAAGGTCCCCAAAATGTACATGCAGGCATAGGAGAAGAAAAAAACACCCTATTTCAGATAGAGAAATCCTGGATTCAAATTAACTGGCTCACACTGAAGTGGGAGGAGCAGCACAGCATGAGTTGTGTTTCCTGGTGCTGCTGATAATGTGATGCAGTGCAAACTTGATACTCATTTTGGCATAAAATTGTGCTCCACTTACTCTGACCACTTCCTATGGCAAACACAATCATAAGCCAGTTTCCCCAGTTTTGGTCAGCATGGGGCACACACACACAGGCCTCTCCAAAATCACAAAACACCTTCCATGTATGTTGAGATACACTTCATTCACTTTGCTGCACATTTGATTTAATTTACTGCAAATGTATATGTGCATCAACATACGATTTATGACTTGCAATGCAATTAGAGCAGAGTGCGTCTAGCTCAGTCTTACAAATAGCATCCACACATTCATCCTCTTCCACATTGAGCTACACAGTCTCACTGATCACCAAAACTGCAAAAATGTGTTGATGTATTTGTACTGCTCTTTTGTTTTCATTTTCATGAAAGTGAAAGTGCCCATAATTGTTATATTTATTCAGTCATGTAGTTGGCAGAGAGAGGCAGCAGGTAAGAGTGCAAGAGAAGGGTTTTTGCTAAAGAATCTGGTTTGTTGACTATTAGCTAAGGCATAGCACTTTAATCTGTCTGCTGCAAGTCACTCTGCCAGGCCATCCTCATACAAGTTGTGTTTTTAACAGGTGTCCGCAAATGTTGTTCGAGTATTAACCGAAGAGATAGAAATCCTCAAGGCAACAAGTCATCCTCATATTTTGAGCTGCAAGAACTTCTTTAAAGGTAAGTTTACACAAATCTGCTTCAAGTTTTATTCTCCTCTGAATGAAGTATCAATGGTAATCTCTGCTTGTATACAAATATAATATGCACATAATTAAGTTGTGTAGTGGGATAGTAATGAAGTAATGGGACAAAAAATAATATTAAAACAAATTTATTAAAGAACAGGGAGCTGAAGTCCTGATATCACCTCAGCAATAGCTGCTGTTTTACTAACTGTAACTAAGGGTAATCTCTCATAGTCTATGTATGACTATGCATGTGCTGAGATAAATGAGTATCTGTTACAATGCCTGCTATTAGAAGATGAAATTTTAACAAGAACAATAAAGTGAAGCAATTCATGTTTTGTAAGTATACAAAAAAGAAATTAAAACTCCCAGAACATATGTGCATCATCATAACTTGGTTTCCAACTGATGTTCTGATGTAAAAAACATCGTCACGGATCATTCTCTCTGTCCTGCTGTTATTACAGCCATGTCTGAACTAGCCAAAACCACTCGAATTTGGAGATTTGTTTAGGGCTAATTGTGTTAAATGGGGTTCATCAAAGGCTGCTAAAAACAGATCTTTCTAAGATTTAATGAAATTTCATCAAAAAAAAAAAAGTTTTCCCTGTCAATAACCTGTACAACATACTGATGAGTTACGTTATGTTCCTGGATTTTTACTGACTTGTTTTATTACCAACATCAATTTCATTTTGGAGATTTTGACGTTTTCTTACTTTTGTAATAAAAGTAGTTTATTAAAGTAGTTTCTGCTCTCTATATATATCATATCAAAAGTTTAGTTTGATATGACAGAATATCTCAAAGGGATGTACATTAAAATAAAGCAATAATGAACATTAAAAAAACATAAATATGCACAAAATTACAGATTAATTATAAAATACTATAATCCAATTATTTATAATATTTAAATGTATATCAAAAGTGGGATAAAATACAATAATAGAGAATATGCACATAAAACTCCTGCACATTCATATCTGCATATAGATGAGAAAACATAAATTATAGAAATGTGTAACAGTATATGTAACAATGTACATACACTAAACACTGCTAAATGATGTCATGCATTAATTACCATATTTATAACATCATCGGGTCATATTCTGCCTAGTGTCAGCCAGTTTCAGCCCCTTATCTGTTTGCTTCTCTGCTACTCTCTGTGCTCATGTATTTAAATACAGGCAAATTCCCAATGAAGCTGTTCTCATTTATATATTTTTCTGTTTCTTTTGTCAGAAAATGGAACAAGTTTCAAATAGTGACTGTAACGTGGCCTATTAATTAAATGCCCATCGCACTACTGAACAGTGTCTCGCACATCGCAAATTTTCCTCATGTCGTGCAGGTTTTCCTCATGTCGTGCAGGTTTTCCTCATGTCGTGCAGGCCTAGTTGCAATAATAATCAGGAAATCTATTTTCTTAATTCTCAAGTACCGATAGCAGAACAGATAAGTCAGAGCTTATCAATACTCTGGTCCTTAAAAATTTAGCCCCTAGGGTCGTTCTATATCAGGTTCCGGTACCCATCCCTAATCACCATAAAGTTAAAGACAAGAGCTGTGCTGTGATTTCAGTTACATTTATTTGTAAAATAATCACTCAGAGAGAATGTTAGAAGCAACAGAATATTTTAGCTCATTTACGTCTACGTCAGTTGCTGTGCAGACTCATTGTGCTGCTCTGCCCTTTCTGTTTAGATACAGAGACAGGTGTGACTCTTAACTCGTGGGGCAGTACCGTAGACCGTATATAATGATGGACGTAGCCTCTGTGGCATCATCAATAGGGTTCTGAAGAGACCACCACCATCTCCCCTGTGCCTGACTGCGCCTAACTGCTGGCTAGTCCAAAAATGGCCAAAAAAGTGGGACATGTATGATGCCAATTTCTAGCAAGCATACGCTCACCCACCTATCACTTACAATGACACACCCTCAATTATGCAGAACCAAATAAAATCTTTATTTACCTTAAGAAAATTTAAATGGGTGAGTTCTAAAAAATGTTCAACCCCCCCTACAGTTGTCATGAAAGGGGGAAGTCGGCCATTGCGACCAAGAATGTTTTTTGTACCAGGTTGTAAACTTATTTCTGCTGTAAATTTGGGAGTCTACAGGGATTGACCTGCTTTTTGAGCCAGCCTCCAATACACTATACTGATTACTGAAATCTGAGTCCATCAGCAAGTCCAGTTGATGCTTTGACGACGCTTGTCCTGCAAGTTCTTCTAAAAGTAGATGCTTTCAAAACAAAAAAAAACAAGATATAAATAGTGTAAACAAATCAATTAAAACAAATTTCTAAAACTAAACTCATCGGTGAGCTCAAACAAACACAAAACCGCTAATATTGTGTACGTATTTGGGAAAAGTATCTTACACATTTATATAATGAAGATGTTTTGTTATAAATCACTAACAGATCTTTTCCTTTTTGCCATAAAGATGAACATGACAACATTTGCTATGTAGTGATGGACTACTGTCAGGGAGGAAACCTTGCTGCAAAAACCATGAGTGAGTCTCGACAAGAACCTGAGGTACAGTATATGTAAAACACATTTCAAATTTACATCAGTGAAATATACACTGTTCAAAAAAATTAAGGAATCACTTAATCATCACAGTATAACACCAAGTCAGTTCAACTTCAGGCATATCGTTCTGTCCATTTAAGAAGCATAAGTGATTGTAAATCAATTTCACCTGTTTTGGTGCAGATGAAAGTGACAACAGGTGAAAAGGAGAGGCAAAAGCAAGACAACCCCAGAAAAAGGAGTTGTTTTGAATGTGGTGGCCACAGCCAATTGCTCTCTCCTTATCCATCCTGACTGATTCTTCTCTAGTTTTGTGTTTTGATAGTGTCCTTGTCCCTACTGGTAGCATGAGGTGGTACCTGCAGCCCAATCAGGTTGCACAGGGGTCGAGCTCCTCCAGGATGGCACATCTATACATTTGGTTGCAAGGATGTTTGCTGTGTCTCCCAACACAGTCCCAAGAGCATGGAGGACACCGGCCATTACATGAGGAGAGCTGGACAGTGCCGTAGAAGGGCATCAACCCAGGAGCAGGACCCGTACCTGCTCCTTTGTGCAAGGAGGAACAGGGGGAGCTTTGCCAGAGCCCCACAAAATGACCTCCAGCAGGCTACTGGTGTACATGTTTCTGACCAAACTGTCAGAAACAGGCTGCATGAGGGCGGCACGAGGGTACGACGTCCTCTAGTGGGACCTGTGCTAACAGCCCAGCACCGTGCAGCTCAACTGGCGTTCGCCAGAGAACGCCAGAAATGGCAGGTCCACCATTGGCACCCCATTCTCTTCACAGATGAGAGCAGGTTCACGCTGAGCACATGTGACAGGTGACGCTGTAATGAATGTTATGCTGCCTGTAACATCATCCATGTCATAGCCAATGCTACCCTGACTGCTGTTAGGTACCAGGATGAAATCCTCAGAGTGACTGTCAGACTGGTGCAGTTGGCTCTGGGTTCCCTCCTGGTGCAGGACAATGCCCGGCCTCATGTAGCCAGAGTGTGTAGGCAGTTCCTGGATGACAGGCATTGATGCCACTGACTGGCTCTCACGTTCCCCTTTCCTAAATCCAGTTGAGCACCTATGGGACATTGTGTATCGGTGCATCCGACACCACCGAGTACCATCACAGACTGTTCAGGAACTCACTGATGCCCTTATCCAGGTCTGGGAGGAGATTCCCCAGGACACCATCCACTGACTCATCAGGAGCATGCCCAGACGTTGTCTGGAGTGCATACAGGCACATCTGGAACATACACACTACTGAGTCACATTATGAGTTGCCATGATGAAATTCACGCGAGTTGGATCAGCCTGTGATTTAAATTTTTTACTTTGATTTTCAGTGTGATTGTAAATGCAGCCCTCAATGGGTTGATGATTTTGGTTGCCACTGACCATTGTTACGTCATTTTGTTCTCAACAAATTATACAATGTGCATCAGTAAAGATTTTCAACTTGAATAATTCATTCATCAAGATCCAATGTGTGATTTAAGTGTTCCCTTAATTTTTTTGGAGCAGTGTAGTACAGACTATTCCACTGGTTTTTAATTGATGGAAGTACCATGATTTGTTTCTAGGTACTGAGCTGGATTGTTGAGATTTGTATGGCTTTGAGAGTCATTCATGAAAGCGGCTTGCTTCACAACCATCTGACACCAGAGGTACATTAGTAAACATGTTACACAAACACTGATTAAATGATTGTGTATTTCCAAAGAATTTACCCATTAACTACTTTAAATAATCAGAAAATAAAAACAAATGTATTGATGATGTGATTCAAATTACCGTAAATTTCGGACTATAAGCCGCTACTTTTTTCACACGCTTTGAACCCTGCGGCCTATACAACGATGCGGCTAAATTATAGATTTTTACTGGCCAAAGGCCTCCAGGGGGCGCTCTAACGGGAAGCGCAAAAGTGAGACAGACATGTGGGGAAAGATTATGCGCCGAAGAAGACACGGTAGTTTTGATTTTGATTTTGTGTATATGTACAAAATTTATTTTCTTGTAAAATTTAGCTGGTGCGGCTTATATTCAGGTGCGCTCAATAGTCCGAGATTTACGGTAATCTTTTTTTCTAATTTCTTTTTCATATTTCAATATTTTAGTTGTGTGAATTCATAAAGAGTGAATTAATTTAGTTTTCCCTTTTCTCTTTTTGTAGAACATATTCCTCACAGAATTTGGAATTGTGTGCTTGGGTGATTTTGGAAAAATCCATGAAATGTACAGTATATTTTGTATATATATATATATATAAAAAACACACACACACACACACACACACACACACACACACACACACACACACATATATTTATACAACAGTTACTTCCAAGTAATTTCATTGGCTGTGAGTCATTCCATGTATGATGATATAGAGTACAACAGCACTGGGACCTTTAACTATATGTATCACTCCGTTTTACAGGTGTTCTATTAACCAATAATTAGCATTACATTAATGGTCGTTATCTATCTTAGATTGTAACAAACTTTGCAAAGATGAATATATTTCCGGAAATAACATTTGAATTAATTGATGAATGGTAGTCAGAAGAGGATGAAGCCTGGATACTTCAGCGCACACCTGAGGTAACATGTGGATAACGTAGAAAGCTAGTGTGCACTGTGCAGGTCAGGAAAATGTATATGTGTTACTTAGCAACAATCTAGGACCAAACCAGCTGCAAAACTATTTGTGTTGGTGTAGCTGAATAAATGATTAAATAAACAAACAAATCTAACACACAAAACAGTCTAACACGTTGCTCCAAAACCTCCCATAGGTGCTCAACTGAGTTGAGATCTGGTGACTGCAAAGGTCATAGCATATGATCCACATATCATCACACATCATTTTCATACTCATCAAACCATTCAGTGACTCCTTGTGCCGTGTATGGGGGAATCTGCATTTGCTGTTTCTCCACTCTGTTATTCAGGTTTTTCATTAAGTGTCTATATGTTGTATTGATTTATTTATTTGTTTGTTTGTTTTTTCACACAGTTCAAAAAGAACTCAGTCAACCACTATGTCAAATGTGCTGGAGATAAAATATTTGCCGCCAGAAGTTTTCACAGAGGGGACCTATGATGCTAAAAGGTAAAAACATTATGACTAATGACTGCATTACATTATATACCAATAAAATTAAGGAGACAACAGAAATAATGCCAATAACAGCCTTGAGGCCCTACACACTACAATGGGAAACCAGAGGAATCCAACAGCCATAAACTGAATGTTTGAACCTGAGCCAAAAATACTTTAGAGCTGCTTTGTAACACTTCATCTCAACAGGAAATGGAAAGTTTTCACTATAAATTTGATAGTTTGATGGTTGGAAGAGCAACAAAGTGTCAATTTTGGGTCCATAACGTATGCATGTCCTTACAATGAACTTCTTTAACGGCTTGTGACTGATGTCAGGCCAGGCATGTCCACTACAATACACTTGAGGATGGAGACTAACTTGTACGGGACATATACATCAAATCAATTCAACAATCTTGCAAAACAAGTCAGTATTTCACTCTGTTGATATTTCAGGTAGAGAGAGGAAGAAAGATGCATTAAGTTAGTTAGTGATGCTAATATGGGCCTTGTTTCTCAAAAGTGATTTGCAATTTTGACACAAAGTCCATGCATCCTATATAGCAAAAGCAGCACATTAGCAGGGTATCAGCAGCAGGTTGAGGCCTTCGTCTGTACCTAAACAAGATTTGTTCAGGTACATCATTTGGTTTGAGTTTGTTTCTCCTTCAATCTCCTTCAAGTTTTATGCTCCTAATTTGTTATTAAAGATGCAATCTGTTTGTACACAAGAAAACATGAAAATAATTATAGCCACAAGCTGCAATTTGTGGGTTCTAACTGTTTTGTGCTCAGGAAGTAGGTCTATCAAATCATTAATTAGCTAAAATTTCTTTTTATATATATATGTATATATATATACAGTATTTATACACACACACTTTTAAAAACTCTCAGTTGAGCATAAAACAGAACCCGCAAATAGCCGCTTGCAGCTATGATTTTGTCTAATGTTGTAACCTGCTTCATTACAACATCATATTTTCAATAAAAATCTCTTTTGTACTACTACTGCTTCTAACAATAATAATCATACTTTGTTTACTTGCAGTGATATTTGGTCAGTCGGATGCATACTCTACGAGCTCTGTACTCAAAAACCAGCGGTACGTTACCCAAAGGTTTGCATGATATCAAAAATGTGTAATCAAAATATAATGAGATTAAAAACCAACATAACTATGCTTTGTGTTCCTGTATAAAATGTTTTATAGTATATGAAAAGAATATTCCACTTCACAGATATACTGGTATGCTTTGTCACAGAGTATAAGGACAATCTTAAATATTTTGTAAAACCAATAATCTCTATGCATAAGGAAAATACAGACTTCTCTGAAGTGTGTGTATGGGTTTAAGTTTTATTTTCACAGAAATTAAGCTATTTCTAACTGCACTCCTTATAAAATAAAGAGCCCACCTCGTTAAAAGTCAGACTGCACAGCAGGGTTTGTTAAAAACACCATATGAAAGATGAGATGATCACTTCCAGTGTTGATAAAGATGTGACAGCTATTATTGTTTTTATTATTATTATAATATTATTATCATTAAATGTAGGGCTGAACAATTTAATTAAAATATGAAATGGCAATTTTTCTGGAAAATATTGAGATTGCCATTTATATTTTGATTATTTGCTAGAAATAATTTTGACTCTTGAGGTTCTCACAACGTTTTTACAGAAAAGCTAGCTAACAAAATTTTAACATTTTCAAGTAATTTACCTATTTAGCCAAATTTATCAAGGCATTACATTATTCTTAGACTTAAAATTACTTTGTAACATTGAAATAAAATCATGAAATTCAAAAGTGGCATTATACACACACACATATGGAAAACTAAAAAAAATTGCTATCCTGTCTTGATATCTGACTGACTACCAGTGTTTACACTGCTACACTTTAGCTGTCTTCGCTAACATTAGCTCACAGTACAAGCTACTTCACAGCCATGAAATAAAAGGTGAGTTAACAAAAATATCTTTATTGGCTGTACCACACCAGTAAGGCCATCCTTAGAAATATCTGAAGTCTAAGCTTTTAATGCAAAAGGCTAGAAAAGATAATATAAAACTGGGAGATTTGACTTACTGTCCACCAATTGTCATTCTGTGGGCCAGGACTCCTTTCTTAATCACACATAGCACTGATCTTTACAATAACCGCATGGATTTATAACAAAGAGTTTTTTATGTGTGTTTGAAACTTAAAAACTCATTGTTTAGCATTTTCTGACTTTGTAAAGTGTTTTAAATCCATATTATTACATTATTCAAATATAATTTGATATACAATGATATAATAAGGGGGACAACCCTCAGGAAGCCAGGGACATGTCCCCCCCTAGGGCTAGGTATTGCCACTGATTTCCTGAATCGAATCAATTCCGATTCACAAGGTCCCCATTCGGATGGATTCCCGATTCAATATTGATTCAGTTAGAGATATTTCAGTTACAATATCAATTTTTCTTGGATATTAATGAGATTCTTAGAGAACTAATGCTGTAAATTGTTCCTCTTACCTGGTGCATTGTTAAAATCATTAAAGCTAAGCTAAAAGGCTAGGCTATGAAAACGTAGCTAAGCTTTCATTTCCAGCAGCCCAAGCTGTCCAAGTGTAACAGACTGACTTTGTCATGCTTCTGTGTAAATACATCACAGATAAAGAAACTATCAGAAGAGTTAATGATGAATGAAAGGATGTTTTCTGTCTATTCATTTTTACTACTTAACAATTTAATTCACTGAGCAGCTCAGAGGCTACCGGCAGCTACCGGCATCTCTTGAGGTGGAATGTTTTCTTGCATGTTACTCAATGCAATCAATACACATTTAATGTCAATATGAAAACTTTGACTGTTTGATTTGTTTTTATTAGCTATCTACATGACGTGATGATTGAATCTTCAAGCGCTTAAAATGTATATACATTTCATCTGGATTCTGCGAACTGTGGATATTTTAGCACTTTGAGAAAAGAAGTGGCAGAATGTTGTACGGCGCAGTGACTCGAGCAGCTCCAGCAGCTCTAGACCTACGCTCACCTGACCAGATCTTGTTGTGACAGCTTCACATATCCACGGTCTAAAAGACGAATATTCAAAGAACAATCTCGATATCAGGTTATTCAAATGAAGATTGATTTTAATCAGAGAATCGATTTTTTTCAACCCAGCCTTAGTCCCCCCCCGTCCCCCGCGCGATTTCCACCTTGAGGGTGTAAAACCCTTTACATTACTTGTGGTAACAGTATGACTTCAAGAAAGTAAAAAAAATAATAATAATGATAATGAGTTATGTCTCCTTTTTGAACAATGAGTTGAGTATTTTCATTACAATTATTATGAGTTTTTTTAACCATAATTTTCCTTCAGTTCTCAGCAGAGACCGCAGTCAGGCTCATACCGAAGATCATTGGTGGTCCTTACCCATGTCTCCCAGAAACATTCTCACCAGAGCTTTGTCAGCTCTTGATTGACATATTCAGTAGCGACCCTCAATCAAGACCAACAGCCAGCGAGATCCTGGAGCGTCCCTTCATCATAAACTGTCTTTCAAACATGGTATGACACCAACAACTACCAGTGTTTTCAGTTAAGCTAGATAGCCGCACAGGCCTCTTGACTGCTACTTTGATGGAGGGACTTTAAAGGGTGGCTTACATTTACACCAGACTGAACAGCAGGCTGTCACATCTGTGTACACATAGCATTACTGATGAGTTTGCTTGTGTGTGGTCAGACCTGTGTGTTATTGCACCCGCAACAGCTGTGATGTCATGGGGTCCTGGATAATACCTGAGCATTGTTGCTGAAAGGTTACAAAACCTTTGGAGATTGGTCAAAATGTGTTTGGGGGCGGTTTAATGTGCTCTTAAATTGAATAACTGTGTCTAAATGCCTAGCTTTCTGCTTATATTGTCTATGCTTTTACAATAGAGCAAAAAAACTGTTGAGGAACTCCAGATCAAGCTGAAGAACCTAAGAGAAGTGGCTGACGGTTTGGAACGTGTGCATTTGGGCACCACCATTGGCAGTCTGACAGGAGGCGTGATTGGAGCAGTGGGGGGGGTTACATCCATAGTGGGCCTTATACTGGCCCCCTTCACTTTGGGAGCCTCTCTTATTGTCACTGGGGTTGGAGTGGGGGTGGGTGCACTAGGTGGTGTCACTGCTGGTGCCTCAAATATCACAAATATGGTCAATCAGTCCTCTGATCGCAAAGCTGTTCGAAGCATCCTTAAAGAGTTTGAACAGAAAATTAAAGCAGTTGTCACCTGGTTAGAGGAGATTACCAACAGTTTACAGAACATCAAGAGCAAATGTGGCTCAGCTGACAAAGCTGGCACATGTGACACTGCGGATAGCCAGTTCAATACAGACAATCTAATGAGGATTGGCTCCAGGGCAGGGAGGGGCATAGGTTCCATTGCTGAACTGGTTCGACTAGTTCAAGTGTTGAACATCGGCAGGATCGCAGCACAGGCATCCAGGGCAGTACGTGTGGCAGAGGTAGCAACAGGTGTGCTTTCTGGTTTATTTGTAGCAGTAGATATCTTTTTTATTGCCATGGATGCCAAAGAGATACACCATATTAGACAGGCAGAGGGAGCAGTGATGCAGGAGACAGACACATCACAGAAACATGACCAGTCTTCCAAAAATACTACCCCAGTCAGGTCTGAGATCATGAGATTTGTCCGATCAATCAGGGAGGCAGCAGACAACTTGCAGAAAGTCCTGGATGAGTTTGAAAGCATCATCTCTTCTATCCCTTTACTTGGGATTGAGAGTGACCTGGAGTGGCAAGATATGGATAATACTATAACCAACAGATTCAATTAAATTGAATCAGAAGCACATGATGTTATTCATTTCAGTGTAAGTACGCAAAGTAGAAAATTCTGATTGTGCTCCCACCAAGTGTTTGCTCCATGCCTCGCTCCCACTCTACACAATACATCAGTTCACATTATCAAATTTTTGTGCAACATGACATCACATTTGGGTGTGGACAAGTGTACATCAAACTAAACAGTGTACTTAACCCTTGATAATAAATCAAAACGGGCTTCTGACTTTAAAGATGAGTTTTAAATACAAATACTTTATTAATGGAATCATTTAAAAATATTCTAGATCTTATGAATAATACTGTAATATACAAATGACATCTTTATATTTAAGTTAATTCACTTCTATTACCAGGCAAGGTAACCTTTAAAAAAAACTATCATGAAAAAATATTCTGACAGTCTAATGAATCATGATCCAATTAGTAACGTTCTTCAGTAACTGTATACTGATCAATATTGTATGGTACATTGAGTCTTATTTTTTCCTTTGTCTTTTTTCCATTATTTGGTACATTAATGCAATATACAGTAAAAGCCCCTTGGCTTTGAAAAATTCTTACTTTGATGACTTCTAGTGGTAATATCAGAAGGAACCCTGTGGCACACCACAAGCAACCTAGCTACACCCACAGATCCAAGGTATGGACCCTGGCATCAAAGAGTTCAAAGCCACACGAACTATTCCAATTTTCCCCGAAGCTTGACTCATCTTTTTAACAAACAGTAATTTATGCCATGATTGTAATATGAAAGATGATTTAATTACAGTAACATTCTACACAGAGGGGTTTTAACTGCATTAAAACATGCATGTTTATTTTAGTTCAATTTCATCTTAGTGGATAATTTTGTATAAACATGAGGATCATGACATGCAGCTCTTTGATAAATCACACTGTAAGCTTGTGATTATATGAATGCATTTATAATACATATGAACACTGTACACATATATACTGATGAAAAATAAACTCAGCGATTCAATTCTGATTTTGGTGTCTGGGTGACTCATTGACTCAGTGGTTCATACTGTAACTTGATAGCACGAAGGTCTTGGGTTGAAATCCATCAGCTGGAGCCTTTCTGAGTCTAATCTGCATGTTCATCCCCATGTCTTTGTGGGTTTTCTCTAGTTTTATCACACCATCTAAGGACATGAGGGTTAGGTGAAATAGAAACTTAATTTGTGAGTATCTTTCATCAGTTTAAACGTAAAGTGTGAGCATAACTGTCATTTTCTGTCTACCTGTCCTTTGATAGAGACATACAAAGTTCTAAAAAGTCTCTTTTGCATCTATGCCTGCAACAATATGGTGTTGCTCTTGGTTGTACAATATGTTTTAATTTCAATAATTCATTCATGGTGAATCTTCCCTAAACTGTGACAGTGCAACAAACATACTCTATTTATCCTGACACCCTGATTTCACTGTAGCGAATAAATCAAGCATACAAGAAGACCTTAATACAATATGATTAAAACTGGACTGTAATTGTACATGTAGATATGTCTTTGCAGAATGTGTACTCCGAGAGGAACACACAAGGTTGTGATATTTAACAGGGTTTTGTGTAGGGCTGGGCGATATCAAACAATTGCATCTTAAAACAAGACTTCAAATCAATATCACCATTATTTCAAACTTTTACCTTGATTACACTAAATGAACAATTACTTTGCCGCTTATCGATGTCTCACACCACACAGCTGCAACATGCCACTTCTTCGTCCTGTCGATAGTGATATTATATAGTGATATCGATCATACCAGCAACATTACCTAAAATTGACACCTTTCACTGTAGTTTAAATACCTAGGCTGCAATTGAAATTGACTCAGACATGAAAAAATACAAATATTATTTTTTAACCATTTAAGCAACTGCATGTGGAGACAATGGAGGCCACATTATATTATGTCAATACTAGATGAAGGGCAGTATTTTACCTGTACACTCTTTCTTTCTTTCTTTCTCTCTCTCTGAGTGTGTGTGTGTGTGTTTCTTTCTCTGAACAAGGGTAAATAAGGTTAATAAGGTTTATAATGAAAAGAAATCCAACATTCGAGTATTCATGGCCATATCCAAGGCAAACTCAATGTAGAAAGACAGCGCTGGCAGTAGCAGTGACACAGTTCAGCGACGCAGCCACCACACACACACAACACAGGCAGTGTGTTCCGAGCGCCACAGGCTCAGTGTTTGCGCTCATGTCATCCATATTGCCAACATCCATAACGCAAAATAATGTTTGGACGGACGTGACTGAACACAACATAGGTATTTTTTTAAGGGGACAGTTCATGAGCGCACATGAATGCAACCAAGAGTGGCTAAAATAGCATTAATCTCAATGCCTTGCAGTTTGCCACTGACCTGGCCCTTGCACGCAGAACAAGGACAGTACAGAGAGCAGTCATTCTTGACAAAATAATGCAGCGTGCCTCTGGTTTGCCACTGGCACACACCTTATGCACTTCTTCACCCTCATCAGTCTTCAGCAACTCACAGAAATACCAAGTGAACCCTAAAAAAAACTCACTTTCACAGGAGAATACCACACACTTGAGCAAACAAGTGTGCACCATGGCATACCATCAATTAATCGAGAAAATAAAGACAAATTTCTTCAGCGCTAGAAAGTTACAATCAGAGGCATTTCTTTCCATACTATTACTGAACAAATGAGAATAAACACTGTGTCGTAGGTAAGCTGTAGATTTAATGCTATAATTTAATTGAAATAAATGCACTCCTTCCACATGCACATATTTTATTTAAACTGCAGGAAAGCCATTATGCTTCAGAAGCTACCTCACTCCTCAGCACTTGTGTATAAGAAAATGCTTAAATGTGGGACCAATGTAAATGATTAAAATAACCAAACAAAGCATTCAAACCAAATGCCACAGTGCTTAATTACAGCGGAGAGAATCCACAACATCTTTTTCCTTTTATCAAGAGTACAACATGTATATTTTGTGTATTAAGCAAAACTGTTGAGCGTGTACCAGAAGTCTACTCTGAAGTTTTCTCAACTTTACAGATGTGCCAACTCACTGCTATCTGTGTCCATCCACTCTGCCATTACAGCACCCCGGGGCTGTCAGTCACCTAATCAACCTGCTAAAGGACACTGGTCAAAAAGCCAGTGGAGTCTGAGTGTGAGTGAGTGAGTGAGTGAGTGAGTGAGTGAGTGAGTGAGTGAGTGAATGTGTGTGTGCCTGTGTGTGTGTTTTCTGTCAATATTTCCGTCCCTCAACAGCTACCACTCAGACACTCACACCATCACATGGTGATCATACTCTCACACAGACACACACCTTTCAGGCCACATCATTGACTTTTTCCACTCTGTTCCTCTCTTATCAGCCAAACCATTCTGAACAGTGTGTCATTTCACAGCCTCTGATGAAGAATCATCACATTCATTACACACACTCCACTGTTTATTTGGCAACCTCTCTTCTCATTTATCGGCAACAGAAGTCCTTACTTCATTTAAACCCTCTGATAGCGTAGTCAGGGAAACCACCACATCGAATAGAAGGAGCTATGAAAAACTGTGAAGTAATGAAAATTGACATTATCATTTCAACTGAACAGAGAAATCGTGTGATTGGGAGAAATCACATGTACTCTCAGATGAGATTAAAGTTGAACAACGGGAACGTGTGCTTGACTGGCATGTGTTGATCAGCTTGTACTTTGAATTATAACTGACTACTGTCACTACATCTCAGTGACTTCAAACAAGCTTTTATTGATCCTTGTCATTGACGTGTTTCTACAAACGTGGTGTTGTCACATTTGAAGAGATACTGTCAAAGCTACTGGCTTTCGTTTAACAAGGTTGTAACTATGAATTTACTTTGACTTTAAAATAATCCCACCGTTGTAAAGCAGAAAAGTTTAAAATCAGGAATGTCTCTTTATAATGCTGGGTGGTGGGCATCAGAGCCATCACTGCCAGCCAGAGCTCAGCCTGTCCAAGTGCTTTGATTATGGAAAATATTGTAGCCTACATACAAAAATTACTTCAGCTTTTAGTTTAGAAGAGGGTTTTCTGTCTGCTAATCACTTATGTACACCGTTTGATAGAGTGGCCTTATGCTTGACTGCATTACCAGTGCTGCAGTAGGTTACTGCTCAGATCTCCATGTGCTTATAGAGAAATATCAACTGGAAATGTGCTTCATTCACCTGCTGGCACTCACATCTGTCCAATGAGAGTCCACAGTCAAGCTGGACATGGCAAAAAAAAACAAAAAAAAAAACAAATGCGGCAACTTTGCAATGCTTTCTTTCTGGACTGAGTACGGTTTCAAATTCATGGCACCAGTCATCTTTATGGCAGAAGCCTTGGGTTTTGGCTGGAATTTATCTTTGCTTTATCTGTTTTCTTCACATGGCTGACTTCAGAAGACGCCTATAGTAAGCAGTTCATGGTCTTCTGTTTCAAGCCACGACATTTAAGGTGCTGGAGATGTCAACGTTGACAGCGGTCCTCAGGGAGGCACATTACATGCTGCCTGCACAGGGTGTGTTGAGCATTTTTTTCAGTCGTCTGTCATTGTATTAACGGCAGATCACTCTCTAACCTGTTTTTTTTTTTTTTCTAAATGATAAGTTTACAAATGAAAATTGAGTGAATTGCGGTGGATTCTTATGATACTATTGTAAAAATTATCTCAAATGAAACCCATAGTTATTACTATAAAGTTGTTTTTAATACAGCCCTGTTGTGTGCATTCTCCCCGGCACATCAAATGCTAGCATCTGCTAGTCAGATATAAGTCACCTTAAGACCATGGCAGCACTTGTGATCTACAGTAGTTTTCACTAAAAACAACTAATCAACTTTGGTCTCACTGCCACTGACTCACTCACTGACACTTTACACCACATATCACTGATGTGATGCAGAACCAACCAATTCATTCATAGCAACTTTCTGTTAATCCTGAACAGTGATTAAAATATCTTTAT